GTACTAGTCAGTGAGGCCTGGCAGTATTAGATTCTCACTTGCAGGATTATATGTAAAAACGAATTGAATACATGACACCTTTTCATGGATAACAACTTCTTTTATTCTTTTCACATTGTTTCTGAACCACTTCTTGCCCCTTTATAAGGTGAATTCAAATACCAATATGTGCATCCAATATGAACAAATGTATAAAATTGATGCAGAAAGATTTGATACTGCATCCTGAGGCATACACAATAGTATTCTATGTACCAAATTCTCTACAAAACAAATAATGTTCCTGTTACAAACATAATTATTACATCTACAGTGCAAAACCATGGACTATTTCATTACTTTATAGGATGCTCATACTTCCTATATGGACCCATGAAAATAGTGACTGAGGTCCACTGGAGCCCAGTTTTGTGGCAAGATAAAAACTTGGTTCTTGTTCTTAGCTCAAGAGAAAAGTCAGGCTAGTTGACTAGTGTAAATATAAAAACTTGTGTATCCCAAACTTCATGTGCCTTTAAGAAATATTTACATTTGACACTGATCTCATTTTGTTAATTGTCCGTGATACCATCCATACATGCAGACATGTTTCCGTTCAATAAGAGTCGGTTACTAAATTACTCATTCTTTGTTCGTCAGCCATGCTTGACTACTTTCCATGTAGCTTCCTGGTGTCAGCAGACCTGTTTGATGAATGACACCAGGTGGTCATCTATTATTGATGGAACACCTCATTACCGAGGTATCTGCTTATCAATCTATAACAGTAACCTAGTTCCTGCCCAAGCCAGACAACTGTTAGACTTCCACAAGTCTCCAGGCAATGATTATCTAATCCTAATTAAATACAATGATTAATTTCCTAGATTACATAAATAATTAGAACAAGTCCCTAAGAAACGGAGGAGTCCACCTATCTAGACTTGTCCATTAGGATAGAGTTCCTGTACAGCCATGGACTTAATTCAGTACAGACTTGCAGCCAGGCAACATAGCTGGTGTACAAGCAATGGCTAGTATGACTATCAACAGACAGGATTGTTGGAGTCAGGGCAGAGAGAAATTGATCTATGTTGTTGGCGGTATGGGGAATACTTCCTGAGGTGGTCTCACCTATCCTAGTTGACTTCTGTCATAATTATACAGAATCTACTGAGGTGAGGTGAAATTGGGTTTTACGTCGTGCTTGAGAATATTTCGCTCATATGACGACGTGCATGCATGTGTATGTGTAACGGCTGCTTGTACTAGCCCAGACTTAAGCTGGTTTTATAGTGCTGATAACATACCATACTGAAGTGTTAATACACCCACTCAGACATATATACTGACTCTGAGCCGACCAGTCCTTGTTGTACCCATTAATGCCGAGGTGTTAGGCAGGGACCAACAAGTATACCATATTTTAACGTCTTTTGGTATGGCGGTGGGGATCGAACTCCAGCGACATTCCGCTCTCGAGGCGGACGTTATCCACTGGAGGCAGTCCAGAATATACTGAGGAGGTGTTATCACTGATAACATATATACTTCCCATCAAAAGTTTAGACTCACTTAAAACACTCACGATATGTTATGAGTATATATATATGGTTACATTGAAGATTGATTTCTCCACTAACTTGGGGGAACCAACTGCAAACCTTATGCAGATGAATTGCATGAGGATCATGTATCAAATTGCTGAAAAGCATGTGGAAATATCGTGTATGTGAACAGCTATGTTTTGGTGTAAAATTCTGTTAAGAATTCACCAATTTTCACTGATTTTCATCATTTGATGAACTCATGATAATAATCTTTTCAACATTACAAATTTGTTTTATAATACATCAGTTCATGTGTAAACGGTACCTTTAAACAGTATGGAATATTTTGCAAAATTCAGTTTAGAACAGTTGCCTGAAGTAAGTGGCTATATTTACACTAGTCAGTCTAAACTTTTGATGTGTAGTATATATACTAACTTGTCCTTACCAGTTAGAGAACTGATGAAGGAGTTCTTCTGAAATTGTGCAAATTGAAATATTATTTTCTACCAAATTGTCCTTTTAAAAAAAACTGATTTGTAAAATTTACAATTCTCACAAAACTTAATTATCTTCTAAAATATTTTCAGTCAGTTTCCAGAGCCACTACTCTAAATCATGATGCTATTTAAACGTCTTTCTGTCTAGAAAGCTAAGCTAATAATTGTCCATATCTATCATAAATCTGCAGAAATAATGATGAAAGACATTTTGGCTCGTAAACTAAAAAGCTTGGAGCACACACTGACAGATTTTTTTATCCTAGTCATTTTCCTCTTTCCATTTCATAACTATTTCTAAGCGTTAACGGAAACCTTCAAATAAATCCTGTGTACATATCTTTTACCAAAGTCATCTAATCCAGTAACCATGGTAACCATTCACTATGCATGAAATCATTCAGGTAACATATGGTCCCCCCAACTTATTTATCACACAGTCTGTCCAAAAAACATACAAGTAAGCTAATAACAGACTTTTGTGGGGAAAACTACAGGGTGTCAGGTCACTTATTCCATGTGTGTGGTTGTCGATATCAGGTGTGAAGTTGTCATTGTTATTAAGGACAGGCCCATCAATGGTAAAATCAGCCTTGGTACTGAAAGAGTTAATTTCACCACGGGTATGTCTTAAGTCTTGGTGTTAATAGCGTGTTGATAGCAAGGCCTGATGTTTATAGCTCCTTGAAGAGTGGGAATACTATTTTATTATGGACCGGCTAGCCAGGAGGAGTCTTATTTCAGTGTGCTGACTGCCCACAAGATGTTGTGGAAGCCGACGCGAGTGATCCGATGAGAACGCTTTTCTCCTCCTTACCTGCTCTGGTCATCTGAGTCCAGTCACAAATTTATTGGACAAAATCCCCGGTGTGACCTCTGCAATGGATTACCCAGAGCTTAGAGCATATCCCATTATCAGAGCTCCATCCAATCAGGAGATCATGTTACCCGCAAGGGCGTGTAATTTCAAGATTAGAGCTACTTCAAGATTAAGGGGTAAGAAACTTGCACCTTGTTAAAAAAACATAAACAAAAACTGTCCAACTACCACAAAATAATGACCTTGCAGTGTTCGAAATTAAGCGTGAAAGTCAATGGTTCTTGTCCCAACCCAGATATTGAACGTCCGATATTGAGGTGTCCTCGATTCAAAGACCTCAAGGAACCTTGGATCAATCTAAATTTCAAACTCTGCCTTGATATTAAGGAAGTCTGTCCTTTCAAAGAATCTTCCCTTCAAATGAGTTTCAAAAGATCATTATTTAGGTTGGCAGACAGTTAAATGAACCCATACCATACCTGAATCATTGATGTCATCAAGAGAACTTACAGAATGGTGAACATTTTTTTCCAAATTAAACAACAAAAGTCTAATCTACCTTATCAAATAATATTCATATAGAGGTTCAGACTATCATGAAATTTTCAAATGGAAATCCAGCTTGGCCAATAATCAGGTTTAAGCTCTTATACAAATTCTACTTGAGCCAACACCTTCACAAACAAGTGTAGAAATCCAATTAGGGCTTCCAGTCGTAAACCACCCTGAAGCAGAAGCCGGGTGTTAACTCGGGTGGATTAACTACCCTGACCATGCCAGTCGGCAGAGAGGACCTCTACAGTTTCCACCACACCAGGGCTCAGCAGACGGTAACACATTCAATTCATTTTCCCAGTTACGATGCCGAAGTCTCATGCCTGATACTGAGAGTTGTAATTAACAGCTTTGTGTCAGGTCACTTCTGACAGCATGCCCAGGTATATTTGTTGGCTAGGTTTTAAACACTGGTAGGTTCCTATGTAAATCTATCTGTCAAAGGAAAACTGCAAACCATGATGCTTCAAAGAAAGCAAGTCCGAGAATGTTTGATACTAGATTCAGCTACCGACAGGTCTAGACAGATGGAGACTTCGAAACTTGGTCAATGGGCTCTTGTTCTCAGCAAGACCATTGTACAAAATAGCCTCTTGAAACTGACCAAAATATATGTTTTACAATTTTCAAACTTGTTTGAAGATGAATGTCCATATTATCGTAAAGGTTTCATTCATACTAGACAAACAATCCATTTAATACGATAACAAAGTGACAGCTTTACTGAAAAAAAACATTGCAAAATATGGACATTGTCAAACAAAAGTAAGTAACCTTTCCACACATTTGTCCAAGCTTCAGTATGTGCACCTGTTCAATGCAACAGTGCCTATACTATTGGTTCCATTTAAGCTGTATCAGTGTATATCTTCAATTTAAACACTTAACCCATCTTGACAACTCAAGTACATTTTTCTTCAAAAGGCTCCTTGTATTTATTTAATCGCTTAGTAACAGTTTACTCCTTGACAAACACTCCTTCCTTGTCTAAAAGTCTCAACACTGCATTGGTGCTTGGTCCTGGTGTTTCAAACCTGAAGCAAACCACCCAAGCATAGCTTCCCTGTGTGTCACATAGCACTGACAATGTACCTAGTGGCTCTGCCACCCTTTCATACCGACTGAAATCTCACACCTTCCCGCTGAATGTATCCTCTTAAAGAAAACTCATTGTTACATAGTTATTTTACGAATTACCGCGGATGAAGAGAAAGAGTTTGAGCGAGTTTGAGCGAGTCAGTCGTAAAGTCATAATTGTCACTGTAAGGTGTTTTGGGGGCAGGTCTATAATCATATCCCTTGGGTGGCTCGGTGATAGGACCCCGGGTCACACAGCCCGCGTCTTGCATCTATCATGTCTACAGAGATGATCTAATATTCCTTCTTAATCACACCCTGGTTATGTCAAGTTGTAACCGGTGCAAACTTGTCTGGTGTAATTGTGCTATGTTGGGGCACACTGCTGTCTACATGATAGTTCTGTGATTATATACCCAGTTGCATCCAATAGCAGTGGGTTCATATAACTATAGAATTATCATTGTTCGAGCATTTTAAGATGTTAAGACATTGTGAGATTTCTGATCTTGTGCATACCTTTATCATGTAGGTTGCGGAACAGTTTGTTTGAGCCTCTGGATCTGGAGGGTGTCTGACGTAACATGCCCTCCACATCTTGTGCTGTCAATCTGATGCGTCCGATACGAGCTGAAATATAGAACATACTGCAAGTACTTGACAAACTAACAAATAAGACATGTTGTAACTATATGAAAAAAAAAACAAATATAGGAAATATGGTAAACATTTGACACAAAACAAATAAATAGGATTATTTCAATTATTTCAAACAAGCAGATATTGCAACTAAGATAAAAAGCTTTATACCTATATTTGTTCTGAAGTTCTCAAGTTTTCAGCTCTTGACATTAAGGGGGAGGTGGGGTAGGACAGTGGATAAAGTGTTTGCTCATCACACCGAAGACCAGGTTTGATTCCCCATATGAACAGTGTGTGAAGCCCCTCTCTGATGTCCCCGGTTGTGATATTGGTAGAATATTGCTAAAAGCAGCATTAAACCATACTCACTCACTCATAATTTTGAACACTGCTTATTCTAGCATATGTTATGTACATCTTTCAAATTAATATTATAATAAGAAGAATTTTTACTGTAATAAGTGAATCAAAATATTCTCACATGACTTAAATCCTTCAGGTTTCCAAACCAAAAGTTTACAACACAGAGATTCTTGTAACACAAAATGGGATTACTGTATAGTGCTAGAACCTGTCAGTAACTAAATATACCTTGATGCCAGTATTTTGTGTTTCAATCCCATGTTTCAACAGACATTATTCCAGCTTAAATGTCTGAAAAAATAGGATACCATTTTCTCCTTATTTCTTCAGAGATGACCAGATCAATGTTGTTGGTATACAAAACCACCTTATCATATGGTTCAAAATAATTTTATTGTCACAAGTATTTGGAAAGAAAAGAAATTCTCCAGACCAAAAATATAGAGTAGTAAATATTGAATAGCAGTTTGCCCCATGTTGACTATAAACAAGAGACAGAGCATGTTGTGCTGATCTCAACTTGAAAGACATACGCTAATGTTATTCCTTAATATGATGAGACATGTCACACCTTATCTCATTTCTTAAATTTTTATCACTCTTCTTCATCAGATAGAGTTATCTCCCCCCATAAATCTCCCCACACTGGTGCTAGTTTGTGAACGGCCCTGCGTGGAGTTTTAGAATCTTGTTGAAAGGCGAGATGCTTTGTTTGGTTTGCCTCTTGGCTTTTTATATGTTTTCTTGTGATAAGAATGTCGTTTTTCCACACGTTCAGAAATAAACCTTTTGATAAATGTATGTTAATTCTGTGGCAAATCTGTTACATCTTTTACCCTGGTAACTAGGGCAGGCATTTCATATTCAGCATCCAGCACTGTGCTGCAGGAGGTTCAGCCACAAAAATCCAAACACTTGGAGATTGTTCTCATCTTTCCCTTTCAACGCTCTCTCTTACAGAGACACTGTTTAAACCCAGTGCTACTGATACAGAGCTGGATATTACACCTCTCTTTTCCGCTGCTTGAAGCATATATTTTCTTTGGTGGTGAGAACATTTCATATATTTACAAATAAATAGAATTGTTGGATGTTTTTTTTACAAAACAATTAATAATCAAAATTATTTAACAATCTTAGTTATTGGCCCAAAATGAAACAACTCCTGTGTTTGTACAGCAATTCAATAGGTTTATGTTTAAGGTCTTAAACCATGTCCTTGAATAACATATCTGTGATCCATGGACTTATAGGTTTGTCATAAGAGCAGTTTGATATCCTTTTGTTAAGTCAATATATTAAACTAGCAAATTATTTTTACACAAAATACAAACTTGTGAGATTTTAATGAATCATAAAAATCTGGTATGGACCTTATATAAATCTTGCAAAACACTTAATAAATAAGCCTAATTGTTGTGTGTGTCATGATGTCATTTATTGACAATGTTATAGTTCATACATACTGGGCACTTCACTGATACAAAAATATAAAAAGGAGTTAAAACAGAAACCCTGCCAAATCCTGAAATACCTCTATCTTCAAAATAGTGATATATAAACCTCTGTGTTGTAATCAGCAGTAAACAGCAATGCCATAAGTCACACGATCACAACAGCGTCCGCAACAAGTCGTAAACACACATAGGTATTAACTGTCATCAGTGTAATTGACCATGCATCATCTGACCAGCCAGAACTGACCACCCATTGGTCAGCTGGTCAAACAGGAGCCAATCAGCTGTGAGTTTCTATGTAGCTGACCATGACTGATCACACAATCACTGCTATACAAGTGGACAGAGAAAAGGTCCATTAGCTGTGGCCATGTTAAGAATGGGCAACTAGATGGAGACAAACATGGTTTATATGGCTCATTTGTGAGCCTGTAGAGACTTGGTGAACACATTTTACACCTATAATGCTTGGCTAAGGAAATGTAGTTACACTGGTGAAAACTAGCTTTAAATAAGAAAACTTTCAACTACTTGCAGTTTTCTAGACTTTCAGCATTTCCCAACAGTGCATCACAGTGGCCCTAAAGTGAGACTTTGCTAATGCTTTGATTTTATAGTGCTGGCCCACTGAGATACCATGTAGCAGTTTTAACATGGATGTCCTAGTCAGACACAGTATATTGACTCCAAGCCAACCAGTCCTTGCCTTATCTGACTTATGCCAAACACCATACAGGGTAACAAGTACCGTCTTTTGGCATCTTCAACAGCCGACCCAAACATGGCATCTTCAACAGCCGACCCTAGCATGGCATCTTCAACAGTTTACCTAAATATGGCCTTTCAACAGTTGACCCAAATAAGCCCTTCAGAAGTTGACCCAAACATGGCAACTTCAACAGCTGATCCAAGCATGGCCAATTCAACAGTTGACTCAAACATGGCCTTTCCAAAGCTGGCCCAAACATGGCCCTTCAACAGTTGACCCTAACATGGCCTTTCCAAAGCTGGCCCAAACATGGCCCTTCAACAGTTGACCCAAACATGGCCTTTCCAAAGCAGGCCCAAACATGGCCCTTCAACAGTTGACCCAAACATGACAACTTCAACAGTTGACTCAAACATGGCCTATCCAAAGCTGGCCCAAACATGGCCTTTCACAAAGCTGGCCCAAACATGGCCCTTCAACAGTTGACTTATCATGGCCCCTTCAACAGTGGTCCCACACAAACTTGTGCTCCATATTTCCAAACATGACCCCCACCCCACCCCAGACACTGCATACAGGAAGACTTCTACCAATCCACTTCATGGATTCAGCAGTGTTTACAACAGGCAGGCCAGTGTGCACTACTACTATTTCCCTGTTACCCAGTGACGCCACCATCAATTGACTCCTGGGACTAGACTTCCCTAGAAATATTTAGACTTACAGTCATCTGTCTAACAGATTTAATGTACCTGATGAAAAGTAATTAATGCTCTCTCTGAAGGACAGCAAATGAGGTTTCTATTTTGGATTCTCTACTTGAAACACAATGTAAATCACCGTGTATGCTACCTCGCTCATGTGAAAATACCCAAGAATTGGAGTTTGAAAACCGTCATCAATGACAGTAGACAAACAGCCTGGGTGCAGGGGATGTTTGCTGTCTAATGATACAAACAGCCTCCCTCCCACTCGCTGTACCTGTACACTAATCCAAGGTAAAGGATTAATGAGTCCAGATATGCATCTGACGTGATAAATCTATAACCCACCCCTCAGGGAACTCCAGACTACGCAAGTCTTTCCTTGGTAACTGTTTCCATATGATAATCAGTGCTGACATGGCACACAACAATGACAGTTCACTGATCCTATAATAACAGTTAAGAGTACATACCTCACATGGGATATCTGATTTCGTATCTGTATCAAAATGAAAATGGATCAATGATTTCGAACAGAGTGAGAGTCAGTGTATAGTATAACACCACTTGAGCAATATTGCAGTCAAATAGCTGTGTATAGTTTGACAATTTTAGCAATAATATCTTTAAGTGGCATTTAGAAGCTGATGAAGAGGAACACTTTTATGGATAATTGCTTGATAGAGGGATCTACAACAAAACGTTGCATCTATTGGAAAGGAAGAAGTTGTCTTGCCATAAAAGGTGTTCCTCTTCAACTTTACCTATATTCCAGTCAAGTAACTGTGTATAGTTTGACAGCTTTACCTATATTCCAGTCAAGTAACTGTGTATAGTTTGACAGCTTTACCTATATTCCAGTCAAGTAACTGTGTATAGTTTGACAGCTTTACCTATATTCCAGTCAAGTAACTGTGTATAGTTTGACAGCTTTACCTATATTCCAGTCAAGTAACTGTGTATAGTTTGACAACTTTAGTCCTATATTCTCAAGTCAACTGTGTATAGTTTGACAGCTTTACCTATATTCCAGTCAGCTTTACCTATATTCCAGTCAAGTAACTGTGTATAGTTTGACAGCTTTACCTATATTCCAGTCAAGTAACTGTGTATAGTTTGACAGTTTTACCTATATTCCAGTCAAGTAACTGTGTATAGTTTGACAGCTTTACCTATATTCCAGTCAAATAACAGAATATAGTTTGACACCACTTTTGCATGAACTAAACCATATCACTAACAGGTACACTAGAACTATGCAGGGACTCAAACCCAGGTTTTCAGAGAGTTGACTCAACCAACGGTCACTCCATCATTCCTTATTTGAGATACAAAACAAGCTACTCATTAATCCAAAAACTACAATAAGCTGGCACAATGCAAGTTTCCACAATGTCATATTTCCTAAAGTTTTATAAGGCTGTTCATATCCTATGCCGAAATGTGTTCCAAGAAGGTTCCGGTAAGCCTAGGCTATATACGAGGTTGTAAAGGAAAAAAAAAAATGAAAGAAACATAGTACAGAAACAAGAAAACTGTTTATTAATTTTCTCGGTCAAATTAAGAACACTTTAAATTTTTATTTTTTAGACGTGTACTCGATCTTGTAGGAAATAGACAACATGTTAAAGAAACCGTGACACATTTCCCAGCATAGTGTGACTTAGCTGAATGTTTGATGTGAGTGGGCTATGGAATGGGGGTAGTGGGAGGGAGTCTCCAGAATGAGTCAGTTACCACCTTTTTCACCAGCGACACTTCACTTCTACTAACTGATTGACCAAAACAACAACAACAAACACTATGTTTAATTTTCTGCCTGTGTACACTTTGAGTTCGTGGGTGTAGTTGATTGATAAAGGTATCTCGTGAACAAGTCCAGGCTTGTCGACCAACAAAGACGTTTGCTCACTGTCCGGAATCTCCCTCGCCATGTGAATAGTAGGCCCCACACAAGTTGGGCTGTGAGTTCTCCTCAGGCCCCTGTTATTGTGTAGTATGCAGGGATATACCAACTAGGGTGACACCTCTCTGGAGAGGTACGACCGTATCAATCACAGAACACGTAAGTAGTTCAATGTGCATAAGGGTTATTTATAGCCACTCTCTAACCGGGACAAACTTTCCGAGAATCTCTCTCCCTGCTATGAACATATAACCCTCGTCTGAAGTCGGGTAAGTGTTCAGCTTGTTGCCACTGCCTCTGTATCGTGAGCATAATATTGTACAGATATTTGATAATCAGATTATTAACTTGATTGCCACAGCTGGGTAAATCCCACTATCTTGTCTCAACTCTGTACAGAAGGTTCGACACACATGTCGCCTGGCCATCGTCCAACAACATATTTCCCAGAATTATCGTAGTAATGTTTACCTTAATATCTGCTCAACCAACTGACAGAGCTTCACAAATCACTCACTGCTTACCAAACAACCTGGAACTAGATTAAGGTGACCCTGACTTTTTTACTCTAAAACAAATTCTCGAAAACATGAAACTAATTCTGTCAATAATCTTGTTTTGAATTCTCATGGGTTCTTATTGACCCTTAAGATATCCACGGCTGGATCCCTGACACGTAGATCTCCTATTTCAAACACATGCCCACCCATGCCTTCCTGCTTAACACCCCTTTAAACTGTCCCAAATAGCCAACCCAACAATTGAAACAAGATACTTGTATCATGTCGAGGAAATGGACAAAGGCGTTAACAACTGACAATCTGCTAACCATCAAAGCACTATTTAGTTCAGAATGAGTCTGATATCATCCTAAATGGAAAAATAATACAACAGGAAAATTCTGAATTTCCCATTAGCTTAGAAGTGCACAGTATGAGGCCTGGCTAGCAAACAATGTGATGGCTTGATAAAACCCATTGGACTCGTGTCTTGTGATAAAAAAACACAAAACTTTAGGAATGATGCATAAATATGTATAGAGAATGATAAAGCCATTAATACCCTTTTTCACTTGATATTATTGGCTTTTTGTTAAATTATGAGATGAGCAGGGAATAACAGGGCTTAAACATACATGAACATAATCACAGGGCACATTCTGCCCTCAGTTCATGGATTGGGAAACTTTTTATTCAACTAGAAACGTGAGAGGCTGTGTATGAATATTCTTTCAAGCAATGTTGGAGTGAGTGAGTACAGTTTTACTCCACTCTCACCGTTTCTAGTAATATCACCGCTGGCGACATTACAAGTGGGTTCCACTTTATGTTCACATGAGAGGGAGGAATATCCTTTTCCAACATGACAACAATATCCATTAAGATACCACATTGAGTGACCGATGCCTACTAAGACTCTTCAAGGATTTGTCTTAGTGTCTTAGTCTGAGTGTTTCAACTTGTGAGCATTGTGTGAAAGTGAGACACTGTGTAACTGGGGTAACATATTTCATTGACATAGGTTTGAGATTTCCTTAGTTAAAAAGTATTTTTTTAATCATGAAACAAACTTGCTTGGGCTGCCATTTAACTTGAGTGTAGCCCCCCTTTAAATCTCTATGGCTACGGTATTCTAAGTGCTGAGATCACTTTATGGAACGAAGTACTGGAATACAAAGCAGGTGAAATTCATGTGTATCTCATACAACACTGTTAGAGTCAGCCTCCAGCAATTCCAACTATGGTGTGCATTCAGATGTCTAGATGTTTGAAAACAGGATAGCTGTATCTCCACAGGACTCTAGAAATAAGGCGGAACTGCTTTCTGAACTACATTATCTGTTGCAATTACGAATGCATGGCATTTACGTAGCAACATGACAATATTCCAAAATGTCTGCCCCATGGCACCCTGCAAGGCCCAAAACTCCAGGAAGCTACAAAGTCATTTGTTTGCGAGCATTTTATCACCAAAGTAAACAATAGCACAGGAGGGCTGTCTTCATTAGAATGTATGTTTCTGTCTGATTAGTAGGAGAAGCATATGGTTGTGGGGAGGTATTTGGCGGAGTCTCCCTCATGCCTGGCTCAAGTCTACACCCAAGACATCAGCAGGCCAATTTGACAGCCGGAACCCACGTACAGGAAATGGACTACAAATGTTGCTCCATCTTTGTTAGTATTGCCTGCAATAACACTTAAACAATGATTTCATGGTGTCAGGCACCTTAAAGCTAGGAACCTCCTTTTCCATGAAGTATTGATGAACGTTCTGAAACAAACCTATTTATGGCACACTTGTTCCTAAACCAATTCCAGTTTTAATGCAAGTCAATGTTTGAACTAAAGGTAACAATGCAATAACCTCGACCAAGTGGGTATTGAGGGGTGGGTCTTGATACTGACTGTTACCAAAGTACTACAACTTTTGTTCTTCCAATCTTGGACACATCCATGCTGACGTATGATAGCCTTGTAACTACAATAGGTTTGTGTAATGAGTCAAGGTCAGCAACACTCAGTATAAGACAAGGCTCTTCTTTACAGACTTTCAGTAGCTGCAGCCCATAGATACTTCCCATAGATACTTATCAGATGAGATCCTCAGACTGTGTTCATGAGGTAAGGTGAAATTGGGTTTAACGCGGTGCTTGAGAATATTTCGCTCATATGACGACGTGCATGCGTGTGTATGTGCGGCTGCTTGTACTAGCCCAGACTGAAGCTGGTTTTATAGTGCTAGCCCACTGAGATACCATGCTGCAGTGACTCCGAGCCGACCAGTCCTTGTTGTACCCATTAATGCCGAGCGCCAGGCAGGGACCAACAAGTACCATATTTTAACGTCTTTTGGTATGACACGGTCGGGGATCTAACCCGCGACCTTCCGCTCTCCGGGCGGACGCTCTAACCACTACACAACGGAGGTGGTACTGTGTTCATGAAGAAAAGTGACACAATGACAGTCGTGTACAGGTTGTTGTGGTTAGAGTGCACCAGTAGTGATGAATGGGTTGAGATTATCCGAGTTAAGTCACAGTGACAGCACATCAATCAATAGTCTCTATTAACACCTTGATCTGTCATAATGATCATATCACAGATTCAGGCCACCCTGTTCACTGACCTGCAGACTGAAGCAATCATATATACACTAAGTCTTAGAATTCTGAAACAAAATTGTTTTCAAGCATCTGAAAGGACAACTTCCTTGAATATAGACTTCAATTATTTAAATAAACATTTCAAAATAACAGGAACTACTTTAATGATAATTGTTTATAAAAATGCTACTTGTATCGTCATTGCATTTTTTGTAACTTATTTTTTAATATAGCAGGAAACACTATCTAATTAATCTGTTTAAATCATGCAGATCAGTGTTTTAAATTCCTTGTTTGATGTTGCATGTATTTTGCTTCACAATTTAACTGCCATTTTGGGCAGACATATTCTCAAGTTGTGTTGATGTAATAAAGTTTCTTTTGAGGTTCTCTAGAGCCTTTTGTCATTGAGTTCTACTGTAATAAGCCTTGTTATTTGAAACTGTGACTACCTTTTAGAAATTGATCTTTTCAATATTTCAATCCTCATTTGGGCACATTTGTATGATAAAGTGAAGGTCTTAGTTTGAATTGGTCTTCAGCATTCCAGGTTTGTTGTAAGAGGTGATCAACAGGGCCGTGTGGACAGGCTTGCTGACTTGGTTGGTGAATGTCATTGTATCTGAGTTCAAACTTCAGTTGAACAGATCTATGTTCATGATATCAATCACTAGATTGTCTGGACCAGACAAACCACCATTATACAGCTAGAATATTCCTGAGACCATGTACCAAACATGTGATAATGTTCCATGCATTTGGCTGTTTTACTAGTAGTGGTGTTCCGATGATCGAATAAAATCGAAAACGATCGAAAGGAGGATTGAAAATGATTATTGATTGTTAAAAAAATATTTTTGATTAATCAGAATTCTGTTGTTTTGTATAACATCCTTGAATTTAGTATACTAACCATTTAATTTGATGCGAACAAACATGCGCTCAACAGTGTAAAGCTATGCACATTGTAAAATTTTAACCACTTTTACTGTTTAATTACAATTCCAGTGTCTTACTTGCATGCATGCATTTCATTGCATGACAGTATTATTTATAAAAAAAACATTAATTAGAAAAAACCTGGGGAAAAACCCTTAAAATTGGTGATTACACTAAAAATGTATATATTTCGATTATAATTGATAATCGTTCACCACAAGTCCTCAGATAATCGATAGTTGATTTGGTTTCCGATTCCCAACACTATTTACTAGCACGAATATATATGTATCCCCAGATTCACATGACGATATTTGTTTAATAATATAATCTGTGTGGATTTCAGGCACTGGGACCATGTTTGAACCATACCACTGGCACCGTAATACCTCAGGGTGAATGAAATACATGGAAAATGAATGTGCATCATATTTATTCTGATGTTTGCCACGTTTAAATTCTAAAGGGACAAGACAATGATCTTTAAGAGAGACATGTAGCACACAAAACCCTCAATAAATATATATCACTGCAGACACTGGGCTTCTAATTTGGGTGATGGTACGGACACAGGAGAGACAATATGGCTTCCATTCCTAAGATATGTGAAGCCAAATTTTGCTGTATTATGTCATGATTTGGCCGATGTATTGCTAAAAAACAAACTCATCTTTTTTCCATTTTGACCCGTCAGACTTTCTAACACCTATTTGCACAGTTATGATATACCATGTTTAAGGTGTGGTTCAGTTCCACCTTCCACTTACATATATCCCTAATGGTACAAGAAAGGCATTGTCTTCATTATGACACAGATTTTGCAGACAGTCTGCAGCAAGCCACCTCATCTGTTCCCAAGGTTAATCAGACAGTGTTCTCGGGTGCAAATTGCCTCAAGGTTTTTGCGGGCATTACAACATGTTCATTGAGAAAAGTCGGTCCCAATGTTCAAAGGTATTAGAAGTTTATTCTCACACGTGTGTGATGGGCTGACACTAAAAAACAAGCATGTAGCAGTACAGTCGACTGTGATCAGCTCAAATACTGGGACCTGCTTAACAAACTCTTCTCAGGCCGGGGAGAAAGCTTTCGACAATATTGACACAGCTTATTTCTC